GGTTCAATTCGAATCGAACCGTGGTCATCCCTATGTATACGCAATAATTTATTGAAAAGGAAAAATAAATAAAATGTTTACTTTAAGGGTAGAAATGTCAATAAAATATATTAGGGGGAAAAACCACCACTTTTAAAATAATTGAGGGGGCTAATGTGCTTACATAAATAATTCAGGGGGAAAAAGTGCTATAAGTATATAACTCAGGGGGAAAAAGTGCCATTTTCCCTAATAATAATAATAATTATTAAATGTCACATTATATCATCATTATTACCATAAATGTTTTGGATAAGCAAATTCATTAAGAATCTCAAAATATAATTCTTAACATCATTATTGAAATTATCATGACAAAACTGAAAAGGAAAACAATATCCAATTGCCATAAACATATGCATTTTCCAAAATTGTGATTCAAAATCACACTCCATAATTAAAAATATTACTTTTGAATTATGGCAAAGTTGCAAAATTCTGAAATTGCAATGAATAACCATAATAATCATATAATATTATAACAATTAGGAGATTTAATATGGAAAAACAATTGCTAATCACCACAAACCTTTAAAATATTTTTCGAGAAAACTTTAAAACTTAATAAAATTAAAATCCGAAAACATTAATGTTGAAAAAATAATATCCAACATTTTCAACTTTAATAAACTGATATAAAGGCATAAAAAGTGGTTCTTGACTAAAACTTTATGACCTTACTTATTACCATAATAATGACTGTAAATGCAAACGATTGCAACAATCGCCAAACATCTCAATATATCATCTAATCATGGCAATTAGTCACAAAGTATAGCAATTCATCTTTATTACAAATAATATATCAATACATGATTACAACATATTAGCATTATGCTAATAGTTGTGGATCCCTACTTTATTGACCCAAGATAGGTCCCAAATAGCTTGTTCAAAATAGGTTTAAAAGTCCCAAGTGAATACAGGACTAAAATATGCTCAAAATTGAATGAGAAACCAAACAAGCTGTCTTAATAGGCTATAATATCCAAAATTAGCCTGAGGATCCAAAAAAGAATAAAATCGAATATAAAAATTATGAATTAATAATATGTTATATCCAATCTTAATATGCTTTTCTAAATGTACAATTATAACAAAATAATTTATGAATATACAAAGCATGCTTGGATTTTGCAATATTAACTCATAAATCATAAATAAATTGCAAACACTTCAGCAATTTAATATGATTCTCAATATTAAATTAAAATTCAAATAGCAAATTTAGAACTTAATATTTGTCCATAATTGAATAATAATTTAATTATGAATTTTAATGCCAAAATTAAGAGGAAATTAAAGGCCATTAAAATTCCAAAAATTAGCAATTACTATATATTTACCATTTGCCAAAATAATTTACATGCAATATTAAATTAAATATGATAATATTAATCCTGATATAATTACCATACTAAAATTAATATGCAATTATTAAATAAGCAAATAAATATATGGTAAATAAAAGGTAAATTGCACTGTAAAATAGGAGAGGTACCAGTCAAACCATCCGTCTTCTTCAATTCCTTAAGCAGCCAATGGAACAAACTCAGCGCCGCCCGGAGCTTGTGGAGCAGCGTTCGGAGCCATCCATCCAGCCGTCCGTCTTCTGCCAACGCATCGCCGGAAAACCAGCGCTACTGCCGACGGAGAAGCAGGCCGCCGTCGTCTTCATCACGATGCCACCGTCGCCTGCGTCTTCTCCAAATCGCGATGCCACCGTCGCCTGATCTCGACAGTAGCCGACCGCTACCCCATGGTGGTGTCCTCCCAGTGACAAGGCTCAAGGCGGAGAACCAAGGCCACAGCCCCACCGTCATCAGCACCCCTCGTCGGATTCGTCACCACTGTGCCTCGCTCCAACGCCAAAAACGCCTGCCGCCGGCGACCCCAAGACGCGACGCCAACAACAACGCCCGCCGTTGCCCACGTAAAGCTCGCCGTCGTTCTTTAGGGAAAACGACGCAAATCAACCGGAGGGAATCCTTCGTCCCTCAGTCGAGACACGCCTCAACGTTCACCGTCCGCGACTCAATTCTCGGAAAAGGAAACGCAAAAACCGGTCAAAAACCGTAATGGTAAGTTGCAAATATTACAACAGATTATTTCAACAGATCAGGTTTATTATTTATGCAATTTGATTGTATATTTAATGTTTTTTTTAAAAGGTTCCTGCATAATTTTCATGTACAAATATCCACATATATATTAAAGTTGAATCATGGATACATGTATGCGCAGAACAATCATATTCAAATTGCATACACATTCAAACTAATCCAATATGTACGGCAGTCGTGATCCAACGATGTCCTCTAACGGTGCCACTTGGACGGCAGTCGTGATCCAACGATAACATATAATGACAGTACATAAAACAATGAAGCAAAATTCCCACAAAGGTAATAGCATTTTATATATTTTCCAAAATAATATATACATCAAATATTACCTTCTCAAACAAAATGTCATGTTATCAACCTAACTTGCATACAATTACAGGAATATATACATATGTACTTCTGCATCATAAATATATCATTCCAACTGATATTCATACTGCAAACATATTCTCGGGGAAAAAAAAAAAAAGAAACAGCAGTAAAACATATATATTGCATAATATATAATTCAAATATATATCATATGCAAATTTATCAACTAGGTAGAGATTAAACAGGCTCTGATACCAAATGTTTGAATATACACACAATTCGAACACATGTGATAACCTAACCTCATAGCGGAAGCATAATGATCTAGCAAAACTCCAGCCATAGTTGATACTTTGTTGCATTGCATTGTTGCTTCAAGAACTCCAATAGATTAAAGTTTTGTTGTCTACCATTAATCTCCTGTATGAACTAGATGGTGTAGTTGTAAAGCTGCAACAGGAGCAATGGGAGGACCATGCTTAAATAGCCTACATGCCATCATTATAGGCTAAGTAACGGAAACCGTTACTTCATTTTCAAACCACAACATAATGGCCATAATTGGCCTATTAAACTTGCACCACTTAATAGTGTAATTATAATGAAAATGTTACAGAAATGAGATTCAGTCTGATACCCGGTGCATGTTTTACATTTTTAAGTTCTAGCTTTGTGCCATTGCTGGTCTCAAGACAAACTGTACCGGTACCAATCACCTTCACCTGACCATCATCACCCATTCTTAGCTCTCCAAAGTCACCTGGAGTATATGAAGTAAAGAATTCCTTCCTTGGTGTAACATGGTAAGATGCACCCGAATCTACAATCCAAGTTGTCTCATGGCATGCAACGTTGACGGCGTTCTCATCACAAGCAAGAAGCAAATCTGCTCTAACTATTGCAACCTGGTTCTCTGTGTGATCATCTTTCTTGTCTTGTTTCTGTTCCCTTTTCAACTTGAAGTAATTTTTCTTGATGTGACTCTTCTTGCCACAATGATAACATTCAACATCCTTGTGCCAAGACCTTGACTTACTTCTGCTTTTATCTCTACCCTTCTGACCCCTTTGTTTGTTTCTCCCCCTATCATTTGTAACCAAAATATCTGACTGAGAAGTGGAGGTGTCTTGAGATCTTCTTCTTGACTCTTCATTCAAGATACCACTCTTGACATACTCCATGGTCACAACACCGTTGGGAGCAGAATTGGTCAAAGAAACCCGAAGTGTTTCCCAAGAACCAGGTAGAGTGTTAAGCAACCAGAGACCAAGTACCTCATCCTCAAATTTGATGCCCATGCTAGAAAACTGATCAAGAACACCCTGAAAATCATTGACATGATCATTGATCAATGTACCTTCCCTGATTCTTAAATTCATCAATTGTTTTAGCAAAAACAATTTGTTATTGCCTGTCTTGGAAGCATACAGGGCCTCAAGTTTATCCCACAGGCTTCTGGCATGTGTCTCGTTGATAATGTGATTCATAACATTATCTTCAACCCATTGGCGAATATAACCACAAACTTGTTGGTGCTCAAAGTCCCACTCTTCGTCTGACATGCTTTCTGGCTTTGCAGTTGCAAACACAGGTAGATGTAATTTCTTCACAAACAGAAGATCCTTCATCTTGGCCTTCCAAATGTGATAATTTCTACCATTCAATCGTACCATATTACTCATATTTGTCTCCATGTCAAATGTACCCAATCAACAACCAGGGCTCTGATACCACTTTGTTGGGAAAATCCCACTCCCTGCGACAATGAAAAATCACAGAACCGACAGGAGCACAAACACAAGATGATACACAATAGCCCAAAAATAAATATCAAACACAAGAACACACGATTTACGTGGAAAACCCCAAATCGGGGAAAAAACCACGGGACCACCACCAACCAATAATCCACTATAATAAATCTTGGGTACAAAGTTTCAGGCTACCACACGAGCCAAACATCCACAAATCATCAAATACAATAACTCTAGGCCAAAGACTTCTATTATATTCCACAGGCCTAAACAGAATACCAACTCGTACTTAAAATATTCAACCACCACAAGCAAGATGAAAAGAATACAAATAGTACGAGAATACCCAAAATATGCCTGGAATAAATAAGCTGACCTCCAAAATATTTGATGAATAAATCACCCAAGAACCTAGCTCTTCTTCTCTCTCTTTGCCGAATTGGAGCAAAAAAAAAAGGTTTCGCCGCTTGGAACTTCTCTGCCCTACTGCCGTAACATATATATAATTTTGGAGGAAAGAATCAAAAGAAGGAAAATTGTTTCCTTAGCAAAAAAAGGAAGATTGGATTCCCTTTCACAATTAGGTAAGAATTGAAGATTCTGCCATCTCCCTAAATTATATAATAATTATTATTATAATTATAATTATAATAATTATAATTAGGGCTCAAGATGAGTGTAGTTCCAACAAAAAATATAGTGGATACAAATTGGCTTGGTCCAAACATGAGCTATTTACCACATAGGAGGGAAGCCCAACCCAACACCAATTACCAATCATATTGTTAACTTAAAAAATCTTAGGAAGTTGTCGTTAAGTTTTATGGGATGTTATTCAGAGGAAATTAATATTCTTAGCAAGTTGCCTAGGGTTGAGGTGTTTAAGTTAAAATGGATGATGTTCGCAGGCGAAGAGTGGAAATATTAATATTTTTGCAATTCGTCTACTCTTATCTTGAGCATTCGAAAGCTAGTAGTCCTAATTTTCCAAAACTTGAGCACCTATATCTTAGGGATTGCCATAGATTGAGAGAGATCCCAATTGACTTTGCTGAAATTTCAACATTGAAGTCAATCAAATTAGAGAAATGTCTTCCTTCTGCTGTGGAATCAGCCAAGAAAATTGAGGACGAGCAACGTGAGTATGGAAACAACGATATGGTTGTTATTGAGGATAACGAACATCGCATGTATGTCACCCTTTCTCTTTCTGAATTGTATTTTTTCAACTTGTGCCAAGCAGATTTAATCAATTCTTCAGTGACTCATGACAGGTTTTGGAATCTGAGAAAAGCCTGAGTGAAGAAGAGCCATTAGTAGATAATTGATACCTCCTTGTATTCACTTTTAGGCAGAAGACAACAATGGCATGTTTTCAAGAACACAGAATTGTAATTATATACATACATACAGGATTGTATTTGCAGTTTGATTCATGCATTATTTGTCACAGGACAGGCAACAACATATATTATATTTTTACAAGAAGAAGAGAAGATGTTTTAATTACATTGATTATTCAGTGTTGGTCTGCATAGAGACAGCCAATGTGTAATGCTAGTTATTCAGCTTTAATTAATTTGCTTTTTTAATATAATGTACCCTCTGATCTGATCTCTTAGTTTCTGAATCATGCATTGCATGATGTATGTGCAATGCAATACTGAGTTCTATTTTATATCCCTATATATATATATATATATATATATATATATATATATATATATATATTCATACTTAGTTCACTTGTAATATTGTATGTTTAGTACCTAGCTAGTTATTGGAAACTAATTTAAAGACTTGTTAGACAATATATAGTAGTATTCTATTGGAAACTAGATATAGAAAGTTGCCAGTTGTGGTTGATTAGCTTATCATCACTTAACTTAACACCCTTTTTGGTCCACTATTAATTAAAAACTATAAACTACACATCATTCATATTAATTAAAACCAACATATTTCTGGAAAGTCTTCTTGCTTGGCCAACCACTACAACATTATTTAATACCGAGTATGTTTCAAAATCAAATGTTTACCAATACGCTAAAAGTTATAATTAATTGTGAATGTGCAACTTTATTTCCAACTTGCATAGCTATCAAATTCATATTTAGATATACTATAATTTAAAATGTTTGAACCATAAATCCATAATTATACATTAGGATTCATCTGAAATTTAAAATTCACTTTGAATTTCCGGTGTTAATTTGAATAATCCAAATAGCACCCACCTCTACCTACAACGCAACCCCTAATACTCCGTCCGTCCCATTTTATGTGCTTGATTCGGTTAACGAGGCTTGACTAAAGTTATTTTTAGTCTAATTTTTCATAATATTAAGTTTAGTATTAATATACAAAGTTATATAGTATTTAGAAACTACACAAAAAGCACTATTAAACACAATAAATCAAATTTAAAAATAAGTAAAAATACTAAAGAAAATAAATCAAAAAGAAAGAGTTGATTTGACCAACGAATGATAAGTATGACAGATAAAATGTGACGGAAGGAGTAGCATTTATTTTTTGGGGTCAATTCTTGAAAGTTAACTTATCAAATTCAATTGATTGTGTAGTTGGCTTGATAACTGTATCAATCGATTTGAACCAATCAACTATATGAAACTTATTATAATTTACTTTTTTGTGATTTTTGTGGGTTAGAGTCACTAGATAAATTTCACCTAAAAGGCACATTAAAATAATGATGAGCTTTCGCCTTTCGGATCCAGCTGACTTCAATAAACAAAAACTAAAATAAAATAAAGAGCATATGGTCTTGTAGTAGACAAAGAATTATTGCCGACTCATATATTTAACAGCATATATATGAAGCTGTCATTTATCCAACAGAGTAGTGATCCTTTAGTCTTAGGATACTAATTCTTCTGATATAACCTACATATCTCCCTAGCTTTTTAGAATTTTAAAACTTTATATTAAACGTAAATTCCTTTGACAGTTTGATAGGCCTTCAAATGTGTGAAATTGAATGAGCAAATAATTAATAATTATAATATGTGTCATCATCTAATTAACACATATAAAGAGTTAATTTACAGATTTTTTTATAACCAAAACGAACATACATAATGTTGAAAAGTCGACCTTGCCAACAACAACATTTAATATTGTTCCAAACAAGAAGCATTTTGTCATTATCTAACCTTAATCTTTGAATTTTAATACCACAAATATAAATATGCATAATACAAATAATTTGAATTGGAATATGGCTAAAAAGTCTTGCGAGGCCAACTACTACAACATTTTATATTTTCCCAACAACAAGCATTTTGTCATTAATTATCTACCCCTAATGTTTGAATTTAAATACTACACATTTATTTAATATTGGAGAAAGTTACATTTTTAGTTCATGAATTGTTGCATATATAATGGACAATTAAACCCTTTTATTATAATCATATATACAGTCTTATTTAGTCGTCTTTGAATTACTCATATTGACTCTATTACGAGATAGTATATATGTTTTATACTTTCTTTGTTGTAGCCTAAAGAGTCAATACCTACCACCAAAGTTTAATCCTAGTATTTCTTGAATGATCGATGGCTTAGTTAATGACTCAATTCCTTAATTATAATATTGTGAAACTAAATGGCATTTACTTATAACTTACAACCTAATTACCACTTAGCTAGCAATCATGTGCTCATATCTCCTAAAATATTATTAATTATTCAAACAGCTTGTTATTTATTTATTTGTACAAATCTTTTTGGGGTGTTCTCATACTATACCTCATGCAGGCCATAACGACTGCTTGTATGTTTTGGGGTGGATCTTGGTTCAAAATGACTAGGGGTGTTAGGCAATTGAGCTTTTAGTAATAAAGTATTCGTGTTTGTATTCAGTAAGCCGTTTGTTTATTCAGTAAGTCGTTCGTTCTGTAAGCCGTTCGTTTATTTTTTTAATTTAGGATCCACCATCTTATTTGCACTCAATCCCCCAAATCCACCATTGATGGATTAGATTGGATTGAATCTGTACTTCTTCCGGATCCCAAACAAGTGTGAAAAAAGTCTTAATTACATTACTGATGTTATCACATCTGTGCTTGTTTTTATAATTATTTTGAATCATCACAGTAATTAAGTTCTTTAATTTTGCTTATTTAATACATGTTTTCCTTGCTATTATCATTTAATTATGGTTCACACTTGTTTTGAATGTTTTACGGTGTTTGTTAGTGTTTTTGAACCATTTTAGGTCAAAGATATGAGCAAGGGGAGTTCAAGGATGAGTTCGGAGCAATTTTAGACAAGTTCGGGACCCAGAGGATTCGACGCGTCGAGCCAAAGGCTCGACACGTCGAAAATTTCCAGTACACAATCCGGTCGAGACAGCAGGTCTCGACGCGTCGAGCGACATTAATTTTCGAAGCGTAAGAAGCAGTGCATTCTAATATCAAATTTGCAAAGTGATTAGTGGCTGCAATGTTTCCCAATTCAACTTCAATTCCAAATTCCAATTCCAACTTCAAATTTTAAATTAAATACGGCAATTTCTTTATTTAAATATAGGAATTATAATTTGAGTCCAATTTTGTACAAGATTCCTACTTCATCTCAACTTTGTACCCACTATAAAATCCCTCCTTCCTCAACCCTAATGAGAGACCGAGAGATTTTTAGAGTTCTTTGTAGACAAGAAAGAGAGAAATCAAGAGGCTCAAGTTGTCTTTGGAAGCAAGGAGGAAGCCAAGGAGATTTGGGAGAATCGCTTGGTTAATTCTTGTACTCTTTTGATGATTTGTAATCCTTTATTCATATTTGCTATGTATAATTTAGCCATGCTCGGCTAAATTCTTTAAGGATTTTTGGGTGAATTTGTTTATAAACCTATGTGCCTAGTTCGTTAATTTCTTAATATATTTATGTTTGGTTTTGTGATTTGTGTTGCAATCTTGTTTTAATCTGTTGTTGTTGGTAGTTAAAGGCCTAAATTACTAGCTTCACAGTCATGTTTGTGTCACCAATGGGAGTTGGGGCATAAATTAGGGCACACACGATTGCACCTAATGGTTGGTCCTTGGGAAAGGGGAACTTATTAGGGGAAGTTTATTGTAGATTATTGTTCATCGGGAGATGGTAGTAATTAGGAATAATTGAATGCTGATCTTTGATCTTATTGGGTGTTTAAGCCATGGGAGTGGAAATTCACTAGGAATAGAGATTACGGGAGTAATTCGATTCCACTTTGCATTCCCATACAAATCTTAATTCCAAACCAAATATTACAAACGTTAATTGGCCCTAGGTGATTAAACATTGTGACCCCAAGAATCCTATTTTGCTCTATTGTCTACAAAACCTTGCTACTTATTTTATTCTGCTTGTTATTTTATGCAATCAATCAACCTTCAAGTTTTGTTCGGACTAGTTTCATATGAGTAACCTAGTAGCTAGTGATTAGTACCCCATCTCTCTGTGGTTCGACAACCCGAATACTCCGGATATTATTTGTTTGCCCCAAATTATAGCAATCAATTACATATAGAGGTACCTACAATTCTAAAAAGAGGCCGACCAAGTGAATCAAATATGATTTTTATAAATAGTAACTATGAATTTTTATTGTTAACTAACAAAAAAAAAAAAAAAAAGGCTCGTGTAGCTGTAAATTCATTGGCTGAGCAAGTCGCGGAATCTTTTGAGTTGGAAAGAGGTGTCGGCTTTGAATTATTGGCATCTATCATCAGATCTGTGGCATTAGCCTCTCCTCTCATGGCATTATTATTAAACACCATCTTCACTTTGTCCAATTCCATTTGATAATATTGCACTTATCTTCCTTCACTCAAATATTACAATTTCACCTAAACAATTCAAAACAGAGAGGAGATCAGAATGGCTTGTGTGGCTCTACTTTCTCTTATGAGGACACTAGAGCTTGAGTTCTTGCAACCACTGCCTCGTCCAATCCTACAAGAAATGGAACTCCTCACCCCTTTCAACAAAGACTTGGTTCAATCTCTCCTCAAAAAGCTTGGATCTCTGATGGAACTCTTTGATAAGAACAGAATGGATGGTGTTGAAGCAATCGAAGAGTTGGAAACAAAGCTCAGAGATGTAGCTTTCAGAGTGGAAGATGAAATCGAATTCCAAATTGCACATCTTCATGAAACAGAAGAGGATTTTGGAATTGGAACACCACAAGGGGATACTAATATATTGCCGCCAAATCTTCTAGTCCTTGTTTCAAACTTGGTCTTATTCTGCAACAAGGAATGGAAGACATTGATGCCGTCAAGGAAGAGTTGGTGAAAATCAAGAACGACTACATGCTGCAACGAACCCTTGATGTTCTACCAATATCTCTAGCTGATTCTTTCCAACCTGCTTCAGAAATGGTTGGTAGAGACAAGGAGTTTGAGATTATAATGGGGATGCTAATCGAACGTTCATCAAGGCAACTCAAAGTTGTTTCGATTAGCGGTATGGGAGGCATCGGTAAGACGACGTTAGCAAGACGAATTTATAGGGATCCGCTAATTGCTTCTAGCTTTGACCTGCTAGCGTGGGTTAATGCATCACAGCATCAGAACGATAGACAAATGCTTCTTGGTCTTCTTAACTCATTGGTCTATACAAATAATAGCAGCAGTGATGAGGATCTTTCAGCACAACTCCGCAAGACTTTATGGGGTCAAAGGTACGATCAAGAGCTTACTACTCATGCCAAAAGCTATAGCTATACCTAGTATGTAGCACAATTCTCCAGCCACGGGGTGCTAGCCATCCCCTCCAAGTACCAACCAATTTTAAATATTAGACAAAGTTATAGTTAATAGCGAAGGCGCAACTTTATTTCTTATTTTTCCCAAACTTTATTGGGCTCCGCCCAACAATATAATCTCCCCGTCACCGGGTGCTAGACTTGACTTTTTTTACCCACCTCTGCCCAAACTGATAGAAATAGACGTAACAATGAAGTACTCGGTAATAAGATTCTTTTGCATAGGTTATTAAATAATGCTCCGTATTGAATAATAATGAGCAAATACCAATTTTGGTCGCACGAATATTAACAAAATGACAGTTTTAGTTCACATGCATGTTTAATTTCTACCAATTTTCATCCACAACTGTTGTTTTAGTACACCAATTTTCATCCACAAATAATGTTTTAGTGCCAAAATTCATCACGACGAGCACCTTTCGTTTAAGACATGCCAAAATATTAAATTATTAAAGATATTTTTGTCTTTTTTAAATTAAGATCTCAATTTGAGCATAAATAAAGGGATTTAAGCTCTAAGATATGTCCCAATTTGCAGTTCTCCTCCTCAAGTTAAGGTATGATGCTGAGGAGAACTGCGAATTGGGTTTGATCTAAGGGCTTAAATTCCTTTATTCATGTCCAAATTGGAATCTTAAATTGAAAAGGACAAAAATGTCCTAAAAATTTTTAGATTTCAGGATGTCTTAAATAGGGGATGACCGGTGTGATGAATTTTGGTACTAAAATAATAGTTGTGGATGAAAATTGGTAATAAAATAATATATAATCATGGATGAAAATTGGTAAGAATTAAATATGTGTAGCAAAATCATCATTTTGCTAATACTTATGGAACCAAAATTGATATTTGCTCAAATAATAATATACAAACTCTATAATATTAGACTAACTATAAGTCTGTCTCATTATCTACCCTATTTACACACATACTGTATGTAATAATAGGTGTTTACTTGTGATTGATGATGTGTGGAGCATAGAGGCATAGGATTCAATCAATAGATGGCTTCCAGATGATAGAACTGGTAGTCGAATATTATTGATTACTCGCAATGCAACGGTGGCTTATTATGCTAATTGCAGCTATTATTACTCCATTCATCAAATGCACTTGTTAAATCAAAGTGAGAGTTGGGATCTATTTTGTCAGAAGATGGACAATGCGATTGTCCACCCGTGGCCCCACCCGCGGGGAACATATATGTTGGTTGGCGGGGGATTTGTTTCCCGTGATTCTTTTGACTTGGTATTGATGTTTTGACCTCCCGATGTTGTTTTATTGGGCTATTTGTGAGTCTTCTTGATTTTTCGTATGTCTAGAACGATGAGTTAGGAATCCATGTTAGGATTTGGTGTCTTGAATCGTGCTAAGGGTCCAACTTTGTGATTCGTTGGACTATTGTGAGTCTTGTATATTCTATGGAACTACTTTTGGTTTACCCGTTTGATAAGCATGCTAGTTTGATGTTGAAATGCTAGTGTGTGCGGTTTGTTCTTTCCTATTGAAATTGGCAACTTGTGTTGACCATCGTTTGGTGTCGGATTGTGATCCTTCGTTGTTGAGTATGGTTTCATATCTTTGTTGTGATCCATTGATTGATTCCTATGATGCGAACTATGTAATCGTTGTACCCTTTGATTGATACTTGATTAAGGTTATTGTGGAACCTTAGTCTTCTTGGTAATGATGATGACTTGTGTGACTATGATTGAAATTGGTGGTGTGACCTGAGCGTAGGCTCATATGTTGGAGATTGTGTGAATGAAATGAATGGTACCCTCGTGTACTCATATGTAGGAGATCTTGTTGGAGATTGTTGGAGTGGGGACGACGATCCCTGGCGGTATAAGGTTGGACTCAGAAGTACAGGGTGTCACTCGGAGGTAATTGTTGGAACTCAAATAAGGCCGAGGGTAGCCATAAGGTTGGAACAGGGCATAAGGTTGGAATTGTGAAACTTGTGACATGTAGTTGTCACTGTGGCATGTAGTTGCCAATGTGTGTATGTGTATTCTTTGCTAATGAGCATGTCTTGATGTATTCTACTGTATTCTACTTTGTGATAAGTAGAATACATCTCGAGTTGTGTTGGTTACAGTTGGTGTTCTTGTCTTGTTGTTGTCGTAAGGATGTTGATTTCCTTTTCCTTGAGAGTGTGAATGAGTCTTTGAAGTTGACTTCTCTCCATGGCTTTTGAAATGATATATATATTGTATTCCATTTCGAAAATGGTTTTCATTTATACTTATCTATATATGCTATTTAACACGTATTGATGGTTACCAGCAATGTTCGCTGACCGGGTGTTATCCCCATGTTATGTTTTCCTTGTTCTACAGGTTTTGAGTAGAGACCCGAGTGTGCTAGACTAGAGCTTAGATAGTTTTTATCCACTGGTCTAGACGTTGTGTTTTGTTGGCTTGTAAGCCTTTTGAGCGGCCTGTGTGCCTTGACTCTGTAGACTTTGTTGAATGTTTTAGTTACCCGCCTGTGCATCTTTTGATGTGGCATAATGCCCCCGTATAGTTATGCTTCCGCTCTTGTTTAATGGTTTAATAGACTGACTTTCTTTTGCAATTAAGTTTTGAAAATATGGTAAAGCGGGGGTGTTACAAAAATGATCGGTAGAGACGAGGAGTTTGAGATTATAAAGAAGATACTAATGGAACGTTCATCAAGGCAACGCCAAATTGTTTCGATTTGCGATACGGGAGGCATTGGTAAGACAATGTTAGCAAGAAGAATTTATGAAGATCAGTCAATTGCTTCTTATTTTCACATGCGAGCTTGGGTTGTTGCATCACAGCATCATAACAAGAGACAAATGCTTCTTGGTTTTCCTAACTCATTGGTCTCTACAAATAATAGCAGCAGTGATGAGTATTTTTCAGCACAACTTCGCAAGGCTTTATTGGGTCGAAGGTACTATCAAGCGCTTACTACTCATGCCAAAAGCTATACCTAGTAGCACAATCCCCCAGTTACCGGGTGCTAGACATCCCTTCCCAACACCAACTAATTTTAAATGTTATTGTTGGGACTCGCTTACCACTCACACCAAAGCTATAGCTAGTACCGAATGCACAACCTTATTTCCTTATAGATCACAATTACATTGTTCGAGACACTAGGCATTGGACTTGGCCCTAGGCCCTTTACCGGCCTGCCCAATAATCTCCTAGTCACCGAGTGCTAGACTTGACCTTTTTTTTTACCGGCCAATAAGAAACAAATGCTTCATTGCCTTCTTAATTCAAATGGCTATGCAAATAGCAGCACTCGTGATGATGATCTAGCATTACGACTCTACCAAAGTATGAAGCGTCAAAGGTACTTGGATGTGATAGGAATCGTCTCTAATCTCATACGTAACAATGACTCACTAAGATTCTTTGTATAGATTAAATAATATACAAACTCTGATCTATAGGTCTATCTCATAATCTTTATCTACCCTAACACATAAATTTACACATACTATAATAATAGGTACCTAATTGTGATTGGTGATGTGTGGATCATGGAGGCATGGACGAACCCGTATCAAGCCGGCACCGCTTTGAGTGGGTGTAGACTCCAAAGATGGAACTAGGGGAGGGGAAAATTAGAGAGAGAGAGAGAGAGAGATTTCAGAGAAGGAAGATGATAAGAAAAAGATAATAATAATTCGCATGTCTTCCCCCTAGCATGCAGGGTGATTATATACTAAGTTACTCCTATTATGATTAGGACTATGATTCCTAATTAATATGATATAATAAGGTATTAGGACTAAACTAATGTATCCTATTACGAATAAACTTAGTCTAACAAATGTAATCAGCCATCCATGCCGGTTTCCTTCGTTCTCTCCTGGGCCTAGTAGCTTAGGTTGTTTCTTTTCTTTCTCCCAATTCTTGATTTTCACCTTCTTCCACTGTGGATATAATCGTATCATTCCCCTTCCCTTCGACGACCACCTTGTCCTCAGTATAGAGATTCGGGTACCATCGTTCCATTTCATCGGCAACTTCCCAAGTGGCGTTTTCTGGACTACTATCTGACCAGTGCACCAAGACTTGGCGTTGTATTTTTCGATTTACATTCCGTTCCCCACAGAGTGCTAGTGGAGTTGAAATTGGTGATTGGCCCACAATTTCTTCCGGTAATTGGACCTCTATATTTTCTTCAGTTCCTATGTGTTTCTTGAGTTGTGAGACATGGAATACTGAATGAATTTTTGCTTGTGGTGGTAGCTTGAGGTGGTATGCAACTTCCCCTATTTTTTCCAAGATATTGAATGGACCATAATAGCGTCGTGCTAGTTTGTTAGAGCTTCTACGTGCTATTGATATCTGTCTATATGGTTGTAGACGAAGCCAGACCTTATCTCCTACTGAAAATTTCACTTCGCTTCTTTTGGCATTGGCTTTTTGGGCCATGCGATGCTGAGCTTCCCGAAGATTGTGCTTCAGTTGCCTTATCAATCTGTCACGATCCAACAATAATTCATCTAGTGCTTGCACTGTTGTTGTGTCTTTTGTATACGGTGCTAAGGTGGGTGGTACGGTGGTCTTCCATATAGTGCTTGAAATGGAGTCATTTTAATGCTACTGTGGTAGCTTGTATTGGCGCAAAATTCTGCCCATCCCAAGTATGACATCCAATTAGTTGGTTTGACGTGAGTAAAAGCCCTTAAGTATTGCTTTAAGCCTCGATTCATTACTTCTGTCTGTCTGTCGATTAAGAAATTGCTTTACAGGTCTTGAGTAGCTTATGGCGAGTGCGCTAGTTGTTGGTTGTAGTGTAGCTCCTTTGCACTGTGTAGATAGTGTTTTGGGCCTGTGTGCCTTGGGTTGTTTGAACATGGATAGTACGTTTGTTAGACTAGCCTGTGCATCCTCTTGAGGTGGATGTGGCATAATACTTCCCGCTTTTCTCGTTTTTAATTTAAAACTTCCGTTGTTGTTTAAGTTTTA